TTTTGGGTTCTTAAGGTAGGGTTTTGAGTTCAACCGGTGGCTTCCCTGAGGTTTACGGGCTTCTGGGCTTTGGAGGGTTTAGGGGTCTGGGGTCCAGGGTCGCAGAGGGTTAGGGTTTAGGGTTTAGGGTTTAGGGTTTAGGGTTTAGGGTTTAGGGTTTAGGGTTTAGGGTTTAGAGGTTCAGGGTTTAATTAGGGTTTAGGGTATAGAGGTTTCTGGATTAGTAGGGCTTTGGTAGGGCTCTACAAGGCTTAACTGGGGTGGCAAAGAGTTTTAGTAGGGTTCGGGTAGGGCGGTGTAAGGGCGTATGCGGTTGCAAGGTAGTTTATGGCCTTGAGGCGTTGCAGGGCGCTTTTAACTATTGACCTTGGCCCCCACAACCAGGGCCCACAAACAGGGCCTCTACCGAAGTTGTGCAGCGTTTAAGATCGAGGACCGCCACTTTTTGGGAACCGGCTTAGAAAAACCTTTCCTGCAGAAGATAACCCTCCAGGACCGAACCAAGCAAGCATTAGTCTATGGTCCGTTGAAACAACCTTCAACCCTAGAAACCGAACCTCCAGTCCGAGCAAAACTAACAACAAACCTTAAACCCTAAATCCTAAACCCTAAACCCCTAAAACCCTGAACCCTAAACCCCAAACCCATAAACCCCTTAAGCCCCAAACCTGAAAGAGCCATTAAGCATATATAGGGCCCCAAAAAAGCACAGAAGCAAAAATTAGGATAGGGATATCCCATATAAATCCCCTTATAATGAAGTCCAATAAGGTAAGGATATCCCTGTAAAATGCTTATGCTTAGGTGCTTCTTGGGGCTCTTAAATATAGGAGGTTGAATTCTCAGGCCGGCCTTGGGCGGGATGTCGCACACGGAGGCCTTGATGTTGTTCGGAATCCACTCCTTGTAGGGTAATGAGGGCTTGGGAGGGGTTTAGGGTTTAGGAAGTTTAGGGTTTAGGTGGTTGGCTTCGGCTTCGACGCAAAACTCTGGTTTGGATTTAACTCTAGCACCCTAAACCCCAAACCCTGAAACCCAGGCCTCACAAACAAAGAGTTCAAGGCTTTGGGAGGTCCACGGACGGATGCTTCGACTCACGATGCGGGCCGTGTGTGCTTTTTTCCCTCTGTTGCCTCAAAGATTTAGGGCTTAGGGTTTAGAAACAAGGGTTTATCTTAGTTGTTGAGGAGTTATGCTTCGGATCCTTCTGCTATGACGCAGAGCTACTATGTACGAATCATGGGCCCGAAGCGCTCTTGTCTGCTGTTTCTGCGAATTCCAGAGAACAGGAATCCCTGTCATGGCTCCTAGACTCATAGACATAGACCCTGGAGCGATGCGTCCTTATTGTCGCGACTCCGGATTATTTGAGGATGCCCCCCAAAAATCCTAAATGCTAGAGCGGAAGTCCTGAATACAAGAAGTTCGGGAGTGTTGGCAACAGTTAACCTTAACTTAAGGCCATGGCACATTTTGATTTACCCGAAACCCTAAACTTAGGCCCTAAACCCTAAGCCCTCGAAGACGGTCCACCCTAGCACTGAACCCTCGACGGCCTGTACGCATCAAGCTTTCTCAGATTGTAAGCCCCAGAACCTTTGGGGCTTAGGGTTTAAGGTTTAGTTTAGGGTTTAGGGTTCAGAGTTTAGGCTTTTAGGGTTTAGGGTTTAGGGTTTCGGGTCTAGGTTATAGTTTAGGGTTTAGGGTTAGGGTTTAGGGTTCAAGGTTTAGGGTTGATGTAGGGGCTTTAATAATTAGAATAGGGCTTTGCGCCCCTTATAGTATGGTTGTACTCAGGAGCCCGAAGGAATGGTATAGGTAATTATTTTGCGCTATATGGGGGTTTCCGAAAATAGGGGACCATAACAGAGTACCCTAAACAGTGGGATCCTTATTAAAAGGACCCCGAAATAAGGCACCCCTTCTTGTCGGAAACCCCCATATTAAACCCTAAACCCTACACCCTTAGCCCTAAGCCCTAAACCCTAAGCCCTAAACCCTAAACCCTAAGCCCTAAACCCAAAACCCTAAACCGAAGCCAAAAAGACACAACTTGGAGCTTTCCCCGCCCAGCTCGGGGGCTTGGCGGGGTCGGGTTTGCAGTCACAGGCGAAGCTCCAGATCGGGTTTAGGGTTTGGGGGCGTAGGGTGTGGGGTGTAGGGCTTTAGGGTTTTAGGGTTTAGGGTTTAGGGTTTAGGGATTAGGGTTTAGGGGTGCAGGGTTTAGGGGTGTAGGGTAGAGGAAGAGAGTCTATCCGAGAGGGTCCATTTAAGAGTCGCTTCAACCAGGTCCTATGATTGAGGGTCAGATTCCCCTTAAGAGTAGCTATGCTCTAGAACTTTGGGTTAGGCTCCCCTTAAGAGTTGCTTGAAAAAGGCTCTAGAGCCTCAGGTTATAGGCTCCCCTTAAGAGTTGTTTTAATAAAGAAGGCTCTAAAAATCAGGGTTATATGGTTTGGGGTGGACTTGTGGGCCTCTGGGACTAGGGCTCAAAATTCGCATCTGCAGGTTTTGGCTTAAGAGTCGAGTTTCGGGTTTAGGGTTTAGGGCTTGGGGTGTAGGGAAGCTTTCGGATTCGGGCTTAGAGTTTAGGGTTGAGGGTTTTGGGGGTGGGATTTAGGATTTCGGGTTCACGGCTCCGGGTATTTCGGGCTTGCAACTTGGAGGGTTTAGGGCGTATAGTTTTAGGCTCTGGGTAACCCTAAACCCTAAACCCGCGGCCAAGACTCCACGAAGTAGGAGGAGTTCTTGTTCTGGACGTTGAGCATCTGTTCCTAGGCTTCCGGCAGCCTTCAAAAAGAAAACCAGACTTCCATTTCCGTTTCTTTATTTCAAGGCAGCCAGGGCCGTGCTGGAAAACCAACCCCCAAACCCCGAACCCGAAACCCTCCACCACAAACCCTCAACCCTAAACCCCAAGCCTTAAACCCCAAAGCCACAACACAACAGGAAAATAATGGTTAGCAATTATAGTATAATATACCCCTAAACAATATTCTAACTATCAAGGCCCCTATAATATTAACCCTAGTTGATTCACTTATAGCATAACCGTTGAAGGAACCCTTTAAGCCTTTAAGGAGCCCTATTCTAACTATTAAGGCCCCGATACTACTGGGAAGCTGAGGTTCATCCACCTCCTTCGTGGACATGCGGCCACGGAAGAGCGCGGCGGCCGTGAGGTAGCGCCCGTGACGGGGATCCGCGGCGCACATCATGTTCTTGGCATCAAACCTGGGCCGAGGTTTAGGGTTTACGGTTCAGGGTTAGCCTGTTTAGGGTTTAGGGTAAAGTCTAACGGCATAAAGGCTAGGGTTTAAGGCTTCAGGGTTTCGGGTTTAGGGTCATCTGCCACAGAACAGTCGTAAGGTCCGAATTCTAAACCCTAAACCCTTAGCCCTAAAACCCTAAACCCTAAACTCTGGTGCTCAGGCGTAGCCCTTTCGAACCCGATTCCTCAACCCCACGCCCCAAACTGTGGAAAACCTAACCCCTTCTACCACTTCTGGCTTAGGGTTTAGGGTTTAGGATTTAGGGCTTAGGGCTTGTCTTCTGGACTACTGGACGCCTCTGGGTGGAAGCACCCAACACCTCATATAGGGGCCTGGATGATAAGACTGATGCTTTGAAGAGCTGTGTTGCTACAAGTACATTCGGGAACCCTAGAGAATAACATCACCTCTCAACCTTGGTTGTTGAAAAGCGGGATACCTGCTTAGCAGCCAAGATACCGACAGCCCCTTCACTAAAATCCGCCCCCCAAAACCTAAGCCTAGAGCCCTCCAAGACAGAAGATTTGAGCCCTGGAACCTACATAATCCTACACCTCAATCGCCCAAGCCCTCAACGCCATCCGGGCAACATCTGCTGGGTCAACTCGGGCACGGTCAAAGCCCGGTACTGCTGGGAGCCGCGAGAGGTCAGAGGTGCAAAGCCGGTCATGAAGAAGTGCAGCCGTGGGAAGGGGACCTCCAGGGTTTAGGGTTTAGGGTTTAGGGTTTAGGTTTTTGGGTTTAGGGTTTAGGGTTTAGGGTACCTCCAGGGTTTAGGGTTTAGGGTTTTGGCTGAAAGTTTTGGGTTTAGACCTGTATACTGTAAACCTTGAGGTTTACGGGTGCTTAGGGTTTGGATGCTTCAAGTGGTGCTTAGGGGCTCAGAGTTTGGGGTGATGGGGATTTAGGGTCGAGATAGGTGCCTTTTGGCTTCAGCATCTGTCTTGTATCCCAGAACAAATGACTTGAAGGTCAAGTGTCGAACACTCAGGGTTTAGGGCTTAGGGTTGCAATTCTGAGACAAACTGTGGGAGTTTAAGGTTTGGAAGCCGGGGCACCAAGTTCACCGCGATCTTGCGCAAGTCACAGTTGAGCTGCCCGGGGAAGCGCAAGCAGCAAGTCACACCACTCATCGCCGCAGAGACCAGGTGGTTCAGGTCTCCGTAGGTAGGTGTAGTAAGCTTCAGCGTGCCTCAGTAGCATATGGGGGTTTCCGAAAATAGGGGACCCTAATATAGTACCCCAAACAATAGGATCCTTGTTATAAGGACCCCAGATTAAGGTACCCTAATTTCCGGAAACTCCCATATGGTCGCATATGAACAGGTTGTCCCAAATCCACTACCTTCCTGCCTTGGGTGTGACAATCATAGACCATAGACACACACACACACACACGCAACTTGATACCCCGGTGGGCCAGGAACGGAAGCAGATGTCGTAGAGAGCTTCGTTATCGAGCAGGAACGACTCATCAGAGTTCTCGACCAGCTGATGGAAGCTCAAGACGGCATTGTATGGCTCAACCACAGTGTCGGACACTTTCGGAGACGGGATCACCGAGAATGTCTCCATGATGCGGTCAGGATACTCCTGCAGTGGATTTGCTATGACCCTGAAAAGGGAAACGTGCAGCGAACCACTGCAGTCCTTGCTCACGCTTGGCACCGAACTGCAGCTGGGAGCAACCAGAATTTAATGCATGTAGGCAGGGCGGTTCATGGATCACAATTTACAGCGTGCCCACTTTGCAAAGTCGCAGTGACAAGCATGATCCAGTATCAGAACAAGAGTCGTGAGGGCGTACTTCGAGGATCAGGGAACTTAAGAGATAGCGCTGTAACTCTGAACCCGAAACCCTAAACCCTAAACCCAACCCTACACCCTAAACCCTAAACCCTAAACCCGAAACCCAAACCCCAAACACACAAAAGTGGCCAGCCCTACCCAGCAAGTGGTCGTATCCTCGCGAACCTTCGAGATGAGAAGGGTTCCCATGCCAGCACCGGTACCACCTGGCTTTGGAGGGTTTAAGGTTTAGGCTTTCGGGTGTAGGGTTAAAGGTTTAGGGGGCTTAGGGTTTAAGCATTGGGGTTTAGGGTTTGGGGTCTTGCAGGAATTAATTAAGTCTTTTATAAGCTCCAGGGTTTAGGGTTTGGGCTTTAGGTGCGGGTTCGTTTGTTTGGGGTTCGGGGCTTGGGGCTTGAAGTCAAGATTTGAGAGCGTAAGGGTTTTAGTTTTAGGGTTTAAGTGCCACCTGGCTTTCCAAAAGGCTCAAACTTTTATATGGTCGGGATAGGCATTGTTGTGCTGTTGTTGTTGTTGCTCATACTGATGTTGATATTGGTGCTGATGTTGATGTTGATGTTGATGCTGTCGTAGTTGTTGTTGTTGCCGTTGTCGAAGTCGTTGTCGAAGACATTGTCGTCGTCCCTCTGGTTGTTGTTGTTGTCGTTGCCGTTGTGGTAGTTGTTGTCGTTGCTGCTGTTGCAGTTGTAGTTGTTGTTGTAGTTATTGGAGTTACTGTTGTTGTTGTTGTTGGTGGTGGTGGTGGTGGCTGCAGCGGTGGTGGTGGTGGTGGTGGTGGTGGTGGTGGCGGTGGTGGTGGTGGTGGTGTCGTTGTTGATGCTGTTGTTGCTGTTGCTGTTGCTGTTGCTGTTGCTGTTGCTGTTGCTGGTGCTGGTGCTGGTGCTGGTGCTGGTGCTGGTGCTGGTGCTGGTGCTGGTGCTGGTGCTGGTGCTGTTGCTGTTGCTGGTGCTGGTGCTGGTGCTGGTGCTGCTGTTTGTGTTGTTGGTG